TCATTGTGGGAAAATTCTACTACCAGTCCTTCATCACCTTACACGAAATAGGGTGAATAAATCTCATTACTCATGATTGCCCAACATGTGCTTCCATGCCCCTTTAATCCAATCAACTGGCCCACTGGCTGCCAGAACACCAACACGATTGCCACTCTTTTGCTATAATTATAGCTTGGTATCCATGTTTGCCCTTCTGTGCTCCGTCCGAACTTCGCGGCAGTCGAAAGAACCAGTTGTTTGCTTATCCACTTATCTCCACCACCGTCCTCAGCTCCACTGGCTCCGAAGGCAATTCCACATGTCAACAGGATCAAGCCCCTTAACAAGCAGTTATCTGGACAAGTAAATATTGGTCGACTTGCGGTAATCATGTCAGTTTCTCATTCGCCGCTTGACAGAGCTCGTGTTGTTAACTCCCCTCCTCCGGCCAACCAACCTGGCCGTGACCAGAGTCGGCCGGCCACGTGGGTAGACGTAGAAACCGTTATGCTGGGCTGGACGAGGACAGATGGGCAGCAGAAGTGTAATCATGCTGCTCCAGAGGCGGACTTTCCCAGCCCTCAAGGGAGCCTGTGCGACAACCAGTGACCTTAAGGCTTGCTGAGTGGGGTTGGAGAATGAGTGCAGAGGAATGAATATGTATCAACTGTTGGCCGAAAATTACGCCGCCTCACAGCCTAGTAGCCGATCGTAAAGTTAAAATGTTCCGAAAACCTTCCACCATTCGTTCAGGTGGCACCGGATTAGTTGGAGGAATTTATCACTTTGATCTATGGCATTAAGTTGAGGTACAGTCACTAGCTCGTTATCGAAACCTGGCTATAAATCTTATACTAATTACTTGTATCAATTTAATCTATGAATAATAAAATTTCGCAAGATTGGCGTAGCCTAATGATTGAAAGATGGCGTTTTTTCTCCTGCCACTCTGGTTTCCAGGTCCAAGACTCTGATTCGTCCCCTTCGAAGTATCCTCATCTTCGAAACCCAGTTTTTATAAATACCTCTTTTTAAAGTTATTAGAGCTGGTTGGGTAGTAGTTTAGCCCAATCAGACGATTATAAGAGTGGTCAGGCTGCTCAATATCATGCAGCATTTTTGGAGCAAGCAAAGAATCAAAAGCAAATGCCAAATGAAAAATGAGATCAACGAACCGTTTTGCCGCCAGAGGCATGGATAGTGTAAAGCAAACTTAACATGCCGATGATGTCCATGCCCAAAGGCACGAGTATTAATCATGATTACTAGTTCTGTTAGTGTTTCTACCATCTAAAAAGGAAAAAGGTCAGGAGTTGCCAAACACAGAAAATCCATGTTTGAACCGTTGTACTTATTTTTCGTATTTAAGTAGAGTTTCAAGACTACCAGTAAATCAGTGTAATGAGGTGTATTCACCTTATTTCGTGTAAGATGATGAAGGACTGGTAGTAGAATTTTCCCACAATGATATGAGTTGAGCTGACGTTTATATTGAATTTCACATTGCCTTGCTTTCCCAAAAGTTGTTTTCATCCCGGCTGGAGTGGACTGCAGTTTTGATTCGCATCGGTCTTATCAACACCCTCAGCGCGAGTCAAACCGCGACTTTACAGGATGGGAACTGGACATGCCAACCAGTCGGCTAGAGTGCCACGAGTGCATTTTAGGTCACAGGGCAAATGTGAATTTTCAAGGAAGGCCAGGCCTTTTTGCCATATCATATTCTTTCGGTGGGATTTTCGATGAAGCAAACGTATATTTGCTATAACAACCGACTAAGCTACATATTTTTCGTATGTAAGTAGAGTTTCGAGATGTATTCACCCAATTTCGTTTAAGGTGATGAAGGACGTCAGCTCTACTCATAGCATTGTGGGAAAATTCTACTACCAGTCCCTTAACACCTTAAACGAAATCGGGTGAATACATCTCGTATTTCTGATTTACTTACATGCGAAAAATAAGTAAAGTAGTCGATTTTTATAGCAAATATACGTTTGTTTCATCGACAATTCCACCAAAGAATGTGATATGTGAAAAAACCTGGTCTTCCTTAAAATTGACATCTGCCCTGTGACCCAACGGCACTCGTGGCAATGTGTCCGAGTGGTTAACGTGTCCAGTTCCCATTCTGCACTGTCATGGTTCGACTCCCGCTGGGGGTGTTGATAAGACCCATTCAAGGTCGAAACTGCCGCTGTACTTAGTCAGAACCGCTCGCTTATAACAATATGGTAGGAAGGTAAGAGGCAGAAGAGAAAGCCATGGCATCAAGATTTTGCATTTTGACATGACCTTCCACTTCGAAGCAAAATTTGGTTGAAAGGAATTAGCAAAATGATCTGACTGGAAAAAGAAGGATAATTGCTGCGTTTCGTCCTGCCTCCCTGATGAATCAGAGCTAGGCTTTCGTCTATAGCACCGCGACAGACAGCATCAGAGCAAGAATCTATACTTTACGAAATAGAGCAAGAAAATACCAAACCAATGCCAGCCTAGAAGCTTCTTTTACACACCTAACCTTGCGATCTTAATGAGGCATTCCATGAATTGGTTGACTACCTCAAACGCAGATGGGTGAAATAGCTTCAGGAACCGGAAGTGAATATTGGGGCAGCACTCTATACTCACTCTACATCGCTTATGGTATTGAATGTTTTCGTTTAGTTTCGAAAACATGCTCATAAACGACATTTTAACTATCTTTTCTTATTAGTCAAGCAAGCCTTGCCAAAGCACCGAAAGAAGGGGTCCCTTCGACTGGAACTTTCACGAAAAGCGTGGTCTTTTCTCGGAGGCCTCGAGGAATAGAACATTCTGCACTGCTTCTACACACAAGCTATCTCTCTCCTCCACATACACACACACATACACAACTTTGAGCACATTCATTGGGATAGGTTAGAAGCCTCGATTTGTCCGCCGGCTGTCCGGCAGCCCTTGCGATCCTGATCGGAACGGCATGCTTCTGGTATCCACCGCCATTGCCGTGATTGACATGACGCGCAACTGAGCAATTTGGCAGCCTGATTGCTTGCTTTAAACGTTCCATTCGAATTTATTTATAGAAAAATGTCAAGTAATCATCAAAGATACAGCGTAGTTAAGCTGAAGAGGCATGCCAGAGATGAGTGAATCTGGCGCTCAATCAATAGGATATAAGCAAATATGCAAGCTAAACGATATGACCACTCCGACTGAAAGGCCGAAGGTGTTTGAGGCACCTAGAGCGGTTTTCAGAGAGTTATCTGCAAATGAATGCAAAACTTCGACGTGCTTTTCATGGTGCTTTCTCATGAGGTTAAGTTTTATTTACACACACACCTTGCAATCGACAGCCTAAGCCCAGTTAATCGAAATACTAGATTTACCGGTCTTCTGAGCACGATTTCGGCACAGATAAATCGTGTAAACAGGCCAGGAAGTCGGCCTCCAGTTGAGCAAAAACATTGGCATCTGAGGCCTGAAAATCGTCGCCTAGCTGACGCTTTCAGATCACTTGCTGTGAGAACCTACTAGAATTCTCAGGCCGGAAGCGCTTTTTTGTCAAATAACCACTTTGGAAATGGTTTCACGCAAAACTGATAGCATTTTAGGCCATGCATTTTCACGAAGCTCACCTTACCAGCGCGTATGTGTATGCATTTTTGCTCATAAATACATGTTTATGCTTTGTCATACTACACCTCACAGACGATTGTTGGGTGGTATAGGCCTATTACTCACTTGGATACACTTTCTCTAGTCCGCGACGCCTTACCAACTGCCGGATTGCAGACTTGGAATATGAATTCCATGAAGGGATTAGCCGACTTTTTCAGTTTACCCAGTTTCTGCTCGTAGATAAAAATGTATTAAGTGCGAAAATGAAACTTAAAGCTTAAGACGATCTTACTTCTATTTCATATGACAAGTTGGATGTGAGCGATTCATCAACGGAAAATGGAAGAAATATTTCCCTGTAATTTTGGCTGTCGAGTTAGGCGAAGAAATCCTTGCCGTTGTGATCAGTCGCTCTGGAAAATCTGAGCGTATCTTTTTTCGGTCCTTTGTTACCAAGCGTCTCCAAAAGTTGGCGCCATTATTGTATAAACTATGCCAAAAACTAGGCCAAAATGATGCGTCAGGGGATTTCGTTCAGGAACCTTTTGTAAACAATGGCCCCTATGAAATGTGTCTACCCTATTTCGTTTAACATGATGAATAATTGGCAGTTGAATGTTCCCTACATACAAACTATATATAAGTAATGCATTCGATTGCTATAGCAAATACAACTTTACTTCATTAACAATCCCACCATAGAATGTGATATGGGAAAATGCTTGGCCTTCCTTGAAATTCACACCTGCCCTCTGACCCAAGGGCACTCGTAGCAGTGTTGCATAATGGCTAACGCATCGGGATTACGCGCTGAGCCATCATGTTCGAGCCCCGCTAGGGGTGTTTTTAAGACCTAGGCGAGGTACAAACTGAAGCCCACTCTGTGGTTCACCTTTTTTGGAAAGCACGGATATGTGAAATTCAATGGAAATGTACAATCTACTCATATCATTAAAGGAAGATTTAACTATCAGTCCTTCTTCCTCTTAAAAGAAATAGGGTGAATTCGTCTCATATATATTATCTACCGGTAGTCGAAAAATACTGGCTTTTCTCTGGTACGATGAACAGCACGCCAGAGGGTATTGCACCGAGACTCCCGCTCTTCAGATTAACGGTACCATTTGCAAAGCAATCTTCCTTCGGCTTCAGGTGAGGCCAATTTGAGAATCCATTCTATACAACTCTCCATGCGAGTTTGAAGGTCTATTTGAATGAACTAGTATAGGGATTCTTTTAATCCTTCTTTTTTGCTTACATGTACTGAGTTTCCATGACATATTTCATGACAGACTTAATCAAAACATGTATGTATTATTATAAGAAGCCACGACTTATCGGCTACTCTTCAATTCTTACAGCTACTTGAGAGTATATTTTTAATTCTTTTTAAAATTTCGGTCTGTTTTACTGTCTGCCCACTGCTCCACTGATCCGAACCAATGGTAGTTCGAAAAAGCGATTTTAGGTGAATACGACAAGTGAGCTGGTGCTGTTGGATGACACTGTGCTGTTGGGGCGACAATGTTGTTTAGTATAAGCACTGATACCTTACTCCATTTTATAACATCAAATTGCTAATCAGACTAATCATATCTGATTCCAAGATGGCCTTAATGCAGACCAAGCGAGCAGATCTTCCGCAAGGCATGTTTAACTCTTGTGTACGCCCTCCCAAGCTACCAAAAAGCCTCAGATACTGAGACTGCTAAGATAAGCCTTATTACGACTTGCCGACAGTATGGAGAGCTCTTCCGGAACGGATGAGATCAGAAGGTTTAATACAAGTTTCACTGACTTTCTCGGATGATCGATATTAAGGGTGTGGTAATAGCGTTTTCAGAACCCAATAAACTGAGGATGAAACTTTGGGAAAATTGATATCTACAGGTACATAGTAAACAAAGGCTGCTGTCCATTTTAATTCGCTAAACATGAGAATATCAGATGGAGTATAGGACCCATTTATGTTTTATCATCCACATTTTTCATAAAAATTCCGGAAAGCTTACTTAATTAGAATTTACCAAACTCATTTTAACTTCTATCCAATTATTTTTGATGCAATATTCGGCAACTCGATGCCTTATATCAAAGACTACATTTTCACGGCACTCTTAGTACATTAATATTCCACCAAAACTTATACAGTGTGGTTTTTCGGGTGGCCCAATTCAGAGGACTAGATTAATTACAAAACACAGGAGACCTCTGGCCTACTTCTATATGGTTCCAGAAGTCTATGCTGTCTTCCCATTCTTTAGATTTCTCTTTGCTGTCCGACCATTTGTTCGAACGTTCACACAAACTCTTCGATAAAATGATGCCAAATCGCCCAGTTCTGGTTAGGCTTTTCGGGTTCACTGGCCATCCAGTCATAAATCAGGTTTCTACATGAGCGTTTCCATTCTACTATATGCAATTTCGGCTATCAATTTGCTCGGACTCCAACTGGACACACAATTTGATGCAGAACGCTTTGCTCCATCTCTACTTAACTAATATCCATTCTCAGTGACTCTGATTAGTGTCATTAAGCGTAGCTCAGTGAATCGAATAGCTCATTCCCTGGTTTCACCGCCGCCATAAAAGTGTTGTGGTTCGACCTTATTTTCGCAACTTGGTCGCAGCGTCAGTGAGTCCTTGTGGAACGTATCTAGTCCCGTGTCCTCGGCCATAGTATTCGTGGTTTCCAGCATTGGCTGGGTACATTCCCAAAACGTTTCGCCGGCATCGTCAGTGAGAGGCGCCATCGTGAGCACAGAGTTTCAACTTATCAAAGTGACAAATGAAGGCGATCCCCTTGACCCATTTTCTGTTCAATCATTTTGGTATCACTCTTCGCCCCTATTTTTTGTTCTACCTTCTAGTGCTGCATATCTTCCTCTCAACCCCATTTCATATTACCCATTCACTTATTCACACAATTCTGTAAGCTAGTTTCCTCCAATGTCGCCTAAGAGTGTGGGTTCAGTGAAGCGTAATCCTCTCCATCACCGGTACCAGATGCCGTTTGCAGAGCTCCTGATCTACATTATGTCTCCCCCCCTCTTTTTTCCCTACCCGCTTATCAATTGGCCATTGCTAAACATTTACAAGATCGAAACGACAATATTATAAAACTAAAGGAGACAGCTACCACACAGAAGGCCACACCATCTTGGTCTTCATATTTACGATTAAAGTGTTTGTTTTGGATTTGCTAACATTTATTCTTACGTTACAGTAGATCAATTGAGCCGATCTCCTATAATCTAAGAGGGTCCCGACTATTGGTTGCCAAATCATGTTTCACTCTGCAAATGCAAACAAATACGGTTAATTTGCAGATAGACTGTATCGTTTTTATGATATAGGCTTGCAGGCACTGATATCCAGCTCAGCCATGATTAATGCAGAAGAAGATTTAATTAAAAGCTTTAATTAGAGGACTTGATTTTGCGGTTAAAGTCCTTCTGATATATTTTGTAATTAGGGAGTTATCAGGAAAACAGGACTTCGTTTTCGATATCGATCGAGTTGTGTCAGCACTCTCCATGGGATTCAAGGCTTAGGACAC